CTTATAGAAGACAAGATTAATGAATTTACCGATAGTAATAGAAACTACTCAAAATGAAACACAGAGGAGGGAAAAGGTGAACAGAGCATCAGTGAGCTTCAAGTGACCTGATATAGGTGTAATCGGAATCCCCCAAGAAGTGAGAAAATAGGAAGGAGGCAGGAAAAAAATATCTCAGAAATAATAGCTGAAAATCTTCCCTATGTAGTGAAGACCATAAAACCACAGATCCATTCAAGTTTTCAAGGAGTCCCCCAAACTAGAAACATGAAGAAAACTATAGCAAGGCATCATAATTCATTTGTTCATCATCAGTAGTAAAGAGCACATCTTTAAAAAGGCAGAGGAAAAAGAAATGTTTTATGTCCAAGGATAAGGATAACAGTATATTTCTTGCAAGCAACAATGCCAGTGAAAAGACCATGGGACTACATCTATTAAGTGCTGAGAGAAACAACTGAACATGGCAGGACCAATGATGTACTAAGTTGGTGTAGCAGATACAACCTGCCTCCCAAAAATAAGCATCCAGGTCACCAAGCACATTTACAGCAGTTGTAAAACTGGAACCAGCATGGTTAATTGCCTGAGGAGTCCAGTCAGAGAGAAATTGTTGAATAAAACCCTCAGTTGAATTGGCACAACATAATCAGAGCTACAGTAGCTCAGAACATGCTGCCTGAATATTCTTTTCTTCCAATCCTTTTCATAAGCCTTGAATCAAGGCTAGTGCCACACACAGGGAACCACAGAATTAAGGGATTAAAACCCCTCCCAAAGGAGCATGCAATCACTTCAAATCCTTGCAGTGCTTCTATGGAAGTGATTGGAACTCCCTGGCCTGGTCAAAAACTGCAGCAGCTTTTTTTCCCCTTTTGCATTGTTCCCATCAGGGGTGAATAATGTTCTTAAATAATAAGCACTTGATGTTTAAATCCATAAATCTGGCATTTTCTTTCATCAAATGAATACTTTTTAATCTCCAACTGTGAGCCAGAAACTGGAAGACAATTAAGATAAGGAAATAAATATGACTTGGTTTCTTCCCTTAGGTACCTTATTGCATCTAAACATGTAGACCAAGAAGTGAGAAAATAATGGTAAAAGCTAAGACAGAAATATGTACATGGCCCAGGGGAACTTTAGGGGTGATTTGTATGGGAAAGGGGGTGAGGGATAAGGAAACACACCTCCAGTAACACCCATTGAAACCTTAGATTCAATCATTGGGAGTTCATTTAAAGACAGCAGCAAAATTATTATTTCAGGTAATGCTGATTACTATAACTGAGACCCCAAATATTCAAGGGCTCAAATAAAATACAAGTTTATTTCTCCTAATAAAACAGTTAACAACTCACTACCTGAGAATCCAAATCAAACAAGGCTGCCTACGCTGAAAGGGTTCAAAAGTTACTGAATTCACTTTTCCACCATTCCCTAATGCATACCATGAGTATTTCACTGGACACCAACTTGTACACAGGTAGCTTGATTTCTTGGTTTTCTGTTCATTCATTTTAATACCTCAATCTTCATTTTGCCTGATGCAGAAAAAAGAAAACCAGCAAATACACTATTTCTAGGTGAACTTCATCAAATTCAGTTGTTTCCCAATTACTGAATACTCCCCTTTCCACTAAAATTGGCACTAAGAACCCCAATCCATCTTCCTGGTGTCTCTCTGCAGAAGGGATAGAGCTAGGGGATCCCTTTCTCCCTGGAATCATCTCTATCCGTCTGCCCTTTGTACAAGACACACCTTGTTCATCCTGTAGTGTTCTCAGCAGGCTCCATGTGACTGGAGACTGGACCATCTGCAGGTACTCGCTTGGCTCATGCTTGCATTGTGGGAGCCTCAGGAGCTTTCCTGAGATGCAGCCACTTTCTCTCCTTCATGCAACCAGACATGGTACTGATGGATACCCCACATCTTAGCCAGAAAACCACTCTGCTGCAGCCTTCCGTCCTTTCTTAGCCCTTCCTCTTCCACTCACATGTAGCCCATCCTGTGCACCCAAGACCCCAGAGCCACTTAATGAGCTTCCCATACCACTCAATGGTTCCAGGAACCCTCTCCCCTGTCTGGCAGGGAGCCCTGTTGACCCGTGATGCCACAAGACTCGTTGATGCTGGCTCAGCCTTTGATATATTATACAAAAGGCAGCTGAGGTTCTCTTGACTCTCCAATGTTCTATCTCCAGGGAAAACTTTATCACAAGCCCCTTCACACATACAAGGCACTTATCCAGGGGCAGTCCCAGTTCTGAACCCCACAATGCGTTTTGCATCTCTTGCTTCTTTGCTAAACTCTGCCTTCTATTCCCACCTTGGAGGCTCAGTGTGTACTCTCAGGCAAGGGGAAATATTTTCCTGCCTATTCTTATCCCCTTTCAAACAGATTCCATCTTTCTCCTGTCTGCTGCCATGTCCTCGGTCCATTGACAACCCCTAGCCATGCCCAGGTAGAGGGGTGAACAAGCAGGAGAAGAGTAAAAGTAGTTAATATCTCTAAATGTTGTCCCATCACCTGCAAATAGACTGGGTCTTGATGTAACAAGACTTTTCTCTGCATCATTACAGAAATATGAGTCTTCTTGTATCAGGCATATCAAATCCTAACATGTTCTTCTTAGGGTTCGGAATTGAAATGGCCTATTGTTATTCCACAAACAGCACTTGAAACATCAGAGAAATGCCAAATGGCTTACTTTAAGACCAAAATAATAAAATGAATGATTAGACCAATGTTTATTGCTTACTTTGCAAAGGATTATATCAACTATGAGTATCAAACCAAAAACCTAAAACCATCAAATCAATTCAGAATTACAGTGACCCTGTAGGACTGGTGTAGTACTGTTGGATAAGCACTGGACTGTTAACCACAAGGGCGGTGGTTCAAACCCACCAGCTGTTCTTTGGAAGCCCTATACAGGGTCGCTGTGAGTCAGAACCAACTTAATGGCACATCACAAGCACAGCAACAAAACAGGCTAGGACTGCTCCACAGGGTTTCCGAGGCTGTACATCTTTATGGAAACATACTGCTTCATCTCTCCCCGACAGAGCAGCTGTTGACCTTTCAATTAGCAGACCAACACTTAACCCACTGTACCACTAGGGCTCCTTAGCTCTGAGTACAGATGCTTATGCATACATCTTTGTGAGATGGAAGGGACTAGGAGAGCATTTTTAGGCTGTGTGACCTCACTGTGAACATTTGGGTTTAGATTTTGAGTGTACCTGTGAACTCATCTCCATTTCCCAAATACCTTAGTCCTTATCATACCCTTTTCTCCCTAAACATCATCTGTCTCTTAGACATCATCTGTCTTTTAACTCCTTACTTCTTTTGCTCCACTTGGGTAATAACATGACCCACTCCAAATCTAGTAGGTTGTTCCAGTAAAAAACACATCGGTGTACAGGTAAAAAGTAACCTTTGGAAACTTGCAACACCTCTTGAATGAAATGTAAATGATTTATGTTGAGTTGTAGTAAACCACAGTCATACCTGGAACATTTAGCGTAGTGGTTACGAATCGGGCTGCGAACCTTAAGGTCAGCAGTTCGAAACTACCAGCCGCTCCGCGGGAGAAAGATGAGGCTTTCTACTCCCGTAAAGATTTACACCCTTGGAAACCCTGTACAGGGTCGCTATGGGTCGGAACCGACTCGATGGCACTTAACAACAACAGAGAGCCACACATTTACATGTACTATACACCAATCATTTAAGTATCAAATCCACTGTCAGATTATTCCCTTTAACAGAGGGAGAATAGATAGTTAACTGTGGACAATTTTCTTTTATCAAAACATGTGAATCTGTAACTTATGCACATGGTTGGCCATTTGTTGTTGTTATCAAGTGCCTTTGAGTCCGTTTGGCTCATAGGGTATCTGAAGAGCAACTGGTAGCTTTGAACCACCGGCCTTACAGTTCAGACTGACCTTATGGTCCAGTGCTTATCCGATAGCACCACACCAGAAATCCAACACATAACCATTTATGGTTATTCTCAAGTCATTTTCCAGCAGTGTCTCATTAATCTCCAAACACTGAATCCTCTTTCCATCCAACATGACAGTATATGTAGCTGGGATTCTAAGAAGGACGACCAAAGTCTTACCCTTTCCTTCATGGTTTATTCAGATGTTACCAGGTTTTCTTATAAGTCTGGAAGGAGGGAGGGAGAGGGACAGGTGATGTCTAGAAGAAGTTGAAGGCAGAGGAGCACAGAATGTCAACAATGAAAAGTTTCGTCACCATCTCTATGTTTGTTTCCTTTGTATGAAATGAGAATAATACTGAGCTTCCAGAGATTTGTCAACATCAAAGAAGTTACAGACTAGAAGCTGGAAGCAGGGTTCTAGAAAGATGAGTGGTTGCAGGGAGAGGGTCATCATCAAGACTTATATGTCAGTGTGCCTAAGTTTCCAGGAATACTCCCCAAAGCCCTTCAGAAGGTCAAGGCTACCTCCCCACTGTTGAGATATACTGTTGAGATCATCATGCAATGTGTAAACGTGGACCCCACACTCTTGTCTTTTCTAGGTTCCATTCTTAATTTTAGGGAAGGTCCTAACAATGCAAGGGCTGGATAAGCTCAAGGCTCCATTCTTACCTGGGGAGGGGGGTGTGGGGCTGGGGGGAACCATTGCTCACAGCTATCCAGAGCAATGATGGATGCTGGCATTGGTATGGGGAGGGAAACACCTTCTTTCTCCGGTAGCGATGGCATATCCAGACATCTGTACTCCCGTAAGCAATGCCTAAAGCTCCAATGTTTGTCTTTGCTCCCTGACTCCAGTGATCCCTTCTTGAGTTCTAGCTGTTTCCCCACCACCTTAGGCTGTCTGGGGCTTGAGACACTAAAATGGGGTAGGAGAAAGTGTTTGGTGTGAGTTGATGGTGATAAGAAGCTATATGAATGTGACTTCTGATGTAGGATGGGATGAAGATATTTGTTTTTTTCATCTCATATTTCATGCAGGGCTGGGCTGAGGATGTGGCAGGCATGGCGTATGCCCTACAGTCACTGCCAGAGGGGGCTCCCTGCCTGCCACAGGTGAGAGCCAGCTCTGGGATGCCTGCCCTATGGGAAGGGGAGGTGGAGATGGCCAGTGGGGAGGCTGGGGAGGGTTCTGCACCACCCAAGCTGGTCCCCAAGAGGACCTTGCTACAGACCCCAAAACTCATATTTCCTGAGTGTCATTTACTTAGATCCTAAATGACACTGCCGTAGATGAAGCCCTTATGTGCACTGAATTTTATTCAGCACGCTTTTCTCTGGAACACTATGTTAGGGGATAAAATGTATATGAAAACATGGCCTGCCTGCATTCCCGTGAATGAAGCTGAATGTTTCACCATCCTGATACTGCAAGTACATTACTGTATGAAGCAACTAGTGGTGCTCCATTAGGGTTTCCTGGGTGGTGCAAAGGCTTAAGCACTTGGCTACTAGCCCAAAGTTTGGCTGTTTGAATCCACTCAGAAGCACCTCAGAGGAAAGGTCTGACAGCCGACTTCCAAAAGATCACAGTCATTGGAAATTTTCGGGAGCATAATGGTACCTCAACACACACGGGGTCACTGTGAGTCAGAGTCAACTCAATGGCTTGGGGTTTGGGTACTTTTTTATGTGTGTGTGCCATTAAGTTCAACAGTTGTCAACCCAAAATAAATGGGATATATTAGCTGAAGAAATAAGAGAAGGAATTGTGGCTCTGGACATCTGACATCTTTATCTTATTTTTTTTGCAGAAGTTTTTGAAATCTGCGTTCTTGATTTCTCTCACCCCTGCCTTTCTGGCTCCATTCCTCTTTGTTATTCAGCTAATGCCTGAAGTACACACACTCAGTAGGTCTTCTCCATGCCTTGCCTCCAAATCAAAAGTTCTTTAAAAAAAAAAAAAAAAATTCCCACACCCAGCTTTTCCACACTTACTACTTTCCTAGGGCTGTTTAAAAATATTTGTTGTGCCTCTTTGTGTAAACAGCCAATCCTCCCTGCCCTAAATGTCCATATTTTAAAGCACTAAATGTACCAGTCATCTAAATCGCTGTCAAATGGTCCAACTGAAAACACTGGACCAAGAGAAGCTCACTGTGGTGAACAGATCAGCCCTGAAGCCTATATCATATGCAGAAGGCAATAAAAATCAACATAAAGTTAAACATGTTCAATGCATTCCTAACACATTCAACCGATTCTACCACTACCAGCTACCAATTGCCATAAAGTCTTTTCTGACTCATGCGACCCTATGTGTGGCATGTGCTCCTTACGGTTTCCAATGGCTAATTTGTCAGTAGACTGTCTGACCGCTGGGTGCACTCGAACCCTCAACCTTTCAATTAGCAACCAAATGCATTAGTCATTTACACCAATGTAGGATTCATTCTACAAGTAAGTCCTGGTAATCCAACCTTTTTGGCTCCTATAAACAGGAACCTCAATGATAGAACTCCCTGCCTTTGGTCCTAATGCACCTTGCCTCTTTCTGCAGTGGTCAGTGTACATCCGAGCTGCTGTCCGGAAAGAGAAAGGGCTGCCCATCCTCGTGGAGCTGCTGCGAATAGACAATGACCGTGTGGTGTGTGCCGTGGCCACAGCCCTGCGGAACATGGCCTTGGACGTCAGAAATAAGGAACTCATCGGTGAGATTCACACTCGCTTCATCTGTAAATGAAACTCATGTTGCTGTATGTTTGGACCCACATGTGGAAGGGAAATAGTATATTTCCTGCTCTCCTCCTAGTGGGAATCCAATGCGCTGATTTGTGTGTTAAAATTTAGAGAAGTGTTTGTTGATATTACTAATCCTTGCAGATTAAGAACGGTTGTGGTGCTCTTCCCCCGGTCCTCGAGTCCCTGTCAGGCTGTTGACTGCCCACATGGTGAACTGTAGGACATGGATACCATCTCTGCCATTCTCCCTCCCCTTTCTGTTGTCCCATTTTCTGTGGAGGAGACATGCTGTCCTTGTAAGCTGCTTCCCCATGGGTCTCCAACTCATGGTGACCCCATGCACAATGGAACGAAATGCTGCGCAGCCCTATACCATATCCAAGATTGGTTGCAGATCAGATCATTGTATTCCACAGGGTGTTTTCATTGGCTGATTTCCAGAGGGATATCACCAGGTCTTTCTTCCTAGTGTATCTGAGTCTACAAACTCTGTTAAAACAGGTTCAATATCATTGTAGTATGTAAGCCTCCATTAAGAGACAAGTGTGAGTTGTGCATGAAGTACACTAGACTGGGACTGAACCTGGGTCTGCAGCATGGAAGGCAAGCATTCTACCACTGATCCAAGTCTGTTGTTGTGGTTAAGTACCATCGAGTTGGTTTACTGGCTCTTTAATTCCATTGATTTCTTTCCAACGTTATCTCCCTTTAATTTGATATTGAAGAAATTACAGAAATCCTTTTACTAAGGAAACAGTAAAGATAAATGCGTTAGTTTATTCTTTCAAAAGATATTTACTCCTGCCACAACTGTAAAGGTAGAAGTTTTGTAACATAAAGGGGAGAGTAGTTAATCTTGTAGTCCAGGAACAGAAGACTCTAGTACCATCAAGGGAGAGGAGCATGAGCGGAATGCAGGACTCTATCCAGAGAAGCAGTGAAACCAGAAATGGAGGAAGAGATGAGGACCTGGAGAAATAGAGCAGCTAAGGACTCTAGACTCATGGAAAGAGAGGGACTGAGAACTGGCGGCCAGGAGGCAGGCTTGCAGAATGTGCCCTTAGGTTGTTTAAATGATTGTATATTCCTGAGTGGTTTTGTGTGCATCCCAAAAAAATAAAAATAAGCAAAAACAAAAACTAGGGGCAATAGAAGTAAATACTGCTGAGTGGTAATGCATGGAAGGCATTGTAATCATTGCAATGAAATGATGAGTGTAAAATTGGAAAAAAAAAAAAAAGATATTTACTCATCATCACCTACTTCATTCTAAAGACCCCCAATGGCACTTGGCTACCAGTTGAAAGGCTGGTGGTTCAAAACCGCCAGCCGTTTCATGTGAGAAAGATAAGGCAGTCTGCTCCCATAAAGATGGCAGTCGGGGAACCACAGTTCAGTGGGGCAGCTCTCTCCTCCATGCTATAGGCTCTGTTCATGTCAGTGACATGTGTTTATTGATGGTGGTTTCCTGTGCTCCAGCAGGCCTGCATCACATCAATGAGCAAACCAGACAGAAAGCTTCCTCAGTGGAGTTCCCTTTCAAGAGAGAGAGAACCTATGATAAGCATCCATGGTTCCTAGGGTATCTTAGAAAATCTCCATGCGGAGAATGTCGCTGGGTAAGGAGAGGGTTGGTGGGGAATGGGGTTGTCAATTTAAAGGGTGCTCACGATAGCTTTGGGGTAGGTAGTCTTTGAGCAAAGACTTCAGGAGGGGAGGCAGTGTGCTGGGTGGAAAGTGGGGGTAGGGCACACTAAGCTGTAGGTGGTCCGCTGGAGTAGATGCTGGGAGTGGAAGGCTAATGTGCCTGGTGCAGAGTAAATTGGGGGACCTTCTGGTACTTCCTTTATAAATGGGAAGGTGCCCAAGCTAGGGCTCATCGACACCTCCAAGTCCCTGACTTCCAGGGAGATGCACATGGCTCCCAGCAGGATGTCCTAACTGGTAGATGATGATTCTGGTCAGGTGCAATGAGGTCTGAAACCCTGGCTGATGGTAACAGGTGTTAATGGATGGCAGCTGGAGGCCAGGTAGCAGGCAACTGGGCTGTCCACATTGGCAAAGGTCCAAGGAGATCTGCAGCCTCAGAGGGAGCTGAGCTGAGAGGAGACACAGGGGCAGGATACCATTCATGGGTGCATTTGCATGCCCTGCATTGGTCCACATTTCATACTGAAACCTTTCATAGTTTTCGGAATCCTGATGTGCTGTAGGATAAGCAATGGACCACAAGCTCGGTTTGAACTGGTGCTTCAAACCCACGAGTCGCTCCTCAAAAACCCTATGCAGGGTCTCTATGAGTTGGCATTTAACAACCACAGCAAGGTCTGTTTCAGCTTCCCAGTTCCTACGTATTGTATTCTACGTCCTCTGTGATCTAGAAACCAGCGGCTATCTCTCCTACCATTTCGCAATGTCCATCTTACCATTCAATACACCTGCCATTGATGTATTCACAGACAAATTAGACTTCAAATCTCTGTATACTCCTTTCACTTAGCTGTTGTATTTCCAGTACATTGAAAGGTATGACGTTGACTCCTGATTAGATGGTTATGCTTTCATTTGAGCTGAATTTTGGGATTGTTTGTAAATTTTGTGTGTTTCAGTAGGGCTACTAGCTCAAAAGGTCAAGATCCCGTCTGCATATTTGCTTTCAGTTTCTTCCTGCATTTATTTCACACAAGCCATTTTTGGGACTTCCAATAAAACCCTATCCTTCTTCCATACGATGGAAGAAAAATCAATAGCTAATCAGTCTCCTGCCTGGGTACTAGCAACGAGACATTGTGCACTTCTGTGGTTTACTTCTTTGGGTGGATTGAAATATAACAAACTAGTGAACTATTGATTGGTTGTGTGGCTTCTAGGCATCCCTTCTTTCTCAGAAGTTGGTTATCTAGGACTATGTGTCAGGGAAGAACATTTGGAGTTCCATCCTGCCATGTTAAATTAAGCTTTACTATCTAACATCACCAGGCCACCATTAAAAACAGAAGTGAAAAATATCTAAATTGTGGGCATAAATCTTCTTATTTTTTTGAAGGAGAAAAGCAGAATGTAAGGAAGGCAGCATTTCATTTTATTTAGGATAAAGGAGATAGCACTGTTGCTCAGCCCTTGCCTTTGCCTCTTATATCCGAGTACTGATTTGTAAAGGAAAATGTTATACAGATCTTGATCAATGGAACTGAAAGCTGCAACAACAGTGAACCAAGAATGAAACCATTTGTGGAAGGTATCGTGGTGTGTCAGTTTGGCTGGGCCACAGTTCTGGGGGATTAGCAGTTCAGATGCACTTATCCCCCGTGATGAGATCTGATATAATACCATCTACCTCATCATGTGATCTGAGGTAATCATCTATGATCTTAGGTAATGATCCCACGTGTTGTAAATCCTCACTTCTGTCATGTTGTTGTTAAGTGTCATCAAGTCGGTTTCAACTCGTTGTGACCATATATAGGGTTTCCAAGGAGCAGCTGGTGGGTTTGAACTGCCAACATCGTGGCTCAAAGCCAAGTTCTGACCCTACAGAGCCACACCCCGAGTCTGTGATGCTAATGAGGTCTAGTGTGGTCTACGGGATTAGATTGTATCTTGAGTCAATTTCTTGTGAGGTATATAAGGAGAGACAGGTGAGCAGAGAATGAGGGACCCAATACCGCCAAGCAAGAAGAGCCAGGAGTGGAGTGTGTAGCTTGGATCTAGAGTCCCTGCACTGTGGCACTCCTAAATCCAGAGGAAGATTGATTCCAAGATCCAGGGAGATCTCTAAGGAATGTTGGACCTACCAGTGCTAAAATGAGACAAGAACCTTTCTACAGACCCAGTACTCTGAATTCAGATTTCTAGCTTTTTATTCTTAGCAAATAATTTGAGAAGCTGGATTATATGTGATACCAGAATTGGAAGAAGACTCAACCTGCGATATGCAGATGATACAACCTAGCTTGCTGAAAGTGAAAAGGACTGAAAATACTGATGAAGATCAAAGAACACAGCCCTCAGTATGGGTTGCATTTCAATGTAAAGAAAACAAAAATCTTCACCAATGGACCAATAAATAACATCAAGATAAATGGAAATAATATTGAAGTTGTCAAAGACTTCATTTTGCTCAGAACAACCACCAGTACTCGTGGAAGCAGCAGTCAAGAAATGAAACGATGTACTGTGTTCGTCAAATCTGCTGCACAAGATCTCTTTAAAGTGTTGAGGAGCAAAGATGTCAGTTTGAGGATTAAGGTCAATTAATACCATTGACCCAAGCCATGGTATGCATGTGAAAGTTGGACAGTGAATAAGTAAGACTGTATAAGAATTGATGAATTGAGTTATGGTGTTGGAGGAGAATATTACAAGTACCACGGACTGTCAAAGGAACAAGCAAATGTTCCTTAGAAGCCAGGATAGTGAGACTTCATCTCTTATATTATCAGGAGGGGCCAGTCCCTGGAGAAGGACATCATGCTTGGCAAAGTGGAGGGTCAAGGAAAAAGAGGAAGATCCTCAACGAGATGGATTGGCCAAGTGTCAGCAGCAATGGTTTCAAGTGTTGCAATAATTGTGAGTTGGCATAGGACCGCGCAGTGTTTTATGCTGTTGTGCATAAGTTTGCTGTGAGTTGGTACTGACTCAACAGCACCTAACAACAACAACACTCTTTTAAATGGTGAGAGAATACATTTCAATTTATGAGAGCCATCTACTTGTGGTATTTCTGTTATAACTGCAGTAGAGAACGAAGACAACATTCAACCTGGACCTGTTCTCGCTACTATCAACTCTCCCTTAAAGTGTTGGTGATCTCCTATGTTTTCTTGTCTGTAGAATTGACCTGTTTTCTGAAGACTCTCCAATAGATGTCTCTGGCATGAACTTCAGGTCATTGTGTCCTACTCTCTGTTGAGCATGTCTTCTTGGTATCTAAGGTCATCTCAAGCATAACTGAATTCCTTATTTCCCC